CCAATCACTTTTATATCAACAAGAATACGGTTCGTCTTCTAATTGCAAGATTCGGTAAGAATAACACATAAACATCAAGAGCATCACACAATTATCAAGAACGACACATAACCATCAAGAACTCCATATAATCATCAAGAATTCCATAATCATCAAGAATCTCCCAATATCAAGATTATCAAGATCTCTCATGGGATCATCACATCAAACATCAATAATAATCATCATATCTCGCCAATACACAATAATATGGGGGAAACCCTAAGGGGGAATCATAGCTATGAAAATAGGTTTTGTTGAGACATGGGTTACCTCTTAGCCTTAATTAATTCCTTGGCTACGAAGGATCTTTCTTTAAGCTTCCTTGCTTTCTTGATTTCTCCTAAGGGGATTCTTGGAGCTCTTTTGGGGTGGTGGGGCGTTATTCTTGTGGGAGGTTCTAGGTGCCTCCTAAGTCCCCTATTTATATATTTAGGAGTCCTAATTAGGAACTAATATTATAGGCTCGCTAATTCTATTCCTTTTGGAACTAAGGATTGGGCTTAGGGGTTGGGTTTATATATGAGGGCCCATGGACTATGGTGGACCTTTTTCCCTAATTAATCATTATGATTTATTCTTTCTCTTGTGCTATTGATTAATTAATTAAATGGTTTTAGGGGCCGTAACACGGGGTGTTACACTAGCTCTTGAAATTGACCACCACGGGTGTGTCAAACTACGACCGAAAGGGGTGGATTGATACCCAAACCACGGGGTACAAAGACTATCTCAGGTACCTACTCGGGAGGGAGGAAGGATTCACCTCGGCCACACGCCCGAATAGGAAGTGGCTATCGGCGGAGCAAAAGATATTGGTTATGATTGTAACCGATAGCCTCTTGCCCACAAACAATAAGAGCAAGGACGTGGGGAGTTTAGAGTGCACTTTTGATCGGAAGTCCACCAGTGGGTATGCGGTCTTCCTCGGGGACAACCTGGTTTCTTGGGTTTCCCGCAAGCAGCGCACAGTGGCTAGATCGTCGACGGAAGCAGAGTACAAGGGCCTGGCAGATGTTGCAGCCGAGGTCACTTGGGTTGTCTCTTTGCTACGTGAACTAGGACTACACTCGGGCAAGCCGGCAACGCTGTGGTGTGATAATCTCGGGGACACATACTTAGCGGCTAATCCAGTATTCCACGCTCGAACGAAGCATGTTGAGATTGATTACCAGTTTGTTCGAGACAAAGTCGCGTCTGGGGACTTTATTGTCAGTTTCGTTTCAACGAAGGAGCAGCTTGTCGATATCTTCACCAAGCCACTACCAGGACCGCGTTTTCAACTACTACGAGACAAGCTCAATGTTGTCACCCTCCAACCTTGTGCTTGAGGGGGTGTGTTAGTAATATAAATGTTTGTATTTATTTTATACTATATAGTTTGTACTTGTGGTAGAGACTTAGTCTAATTAGCTATAGCCTACAGAGTAGGAGTATTGTGTATAGGACTCTCATTCTCTGTCTGAGTTGAATTGAATTGGTTTTCACATTCTCGTAATCTAATCGTCTGACAATGATGTAAGAACAATTTTGTTCGATAAAAAAAAATAATAGTATAATATTTGTAAAATAATGTACAATTGTACCATTATAAAAATACATACAAAAAATATTGATACCATAACGAACTAAATCATACCAATAATGCAAACGTATAATTGAAATATTAAGTTTTGTTCTGATCTAAATAATCAGAAGAAGATTAATTAAACGAAAAAAAAAAAACTTAACCTAAACTTGTTTTTTTTTTTTTTTTTTTTTTTTTAAATGCATAAAATTCAAATGATTTTTAAAGTTCTTGATTTATAATCTTTGATGCTTAACTTTCAATGTTATGTATTTAGTCGAACTAATTATTTGACCAAAATTTATGTTAAATTTTATATTATATATCTTTTTAAAATATATTTTAACATATTCGTAGTATATGTTTAACAATTATGCCAACTCTAATTGGGAAGGGGTTCGAACCTAAGACCTTTCTTATAGAAATTAATGAGTAAGTTAAAAATAATAAATAGTTAATGGAATATTCCGTTACTAAAGTTTATATTAACGGAGTTTAGGTTATTTAATGGAAGAAAATAATATAATAGAGGGTAAATAAGGAAAATCATTAAAAATACTAAAATCAAAATAATATGAACCATTCATTTTAAGAAACAATACTATCGACATTTTTTTTATTCCAGTTAAGGGCCTAACATTATTGGCACTTATTAGAATTGTAGATTATGTTCACTACATTGTCCATTATCTTGTAATTGGAGCGTAATGCCCTGGACCCGTGTCCACCATGTGCATGGTGGAAACGTTGTACATTCATAATTTCTATACTGTAGATTCATAATTTCTATACTGTAGATTCATAATTTTTATACTGTAGATTCATAAAATTTATAATGTAGATTCATAATTTCTATAATGTAGATTCATAATTTTTATACTATAGATTCATAAAATTTATAATGTAGATTCATAATTTCTATACTGCACATTCATAATTTCTGTACTGTAGATTCATAATTTGATAACTATGTGTTCATAATTTGATAACTATACAATTTAGAAATTATGAATCTACATTACAAGAATTATGAATGTGCATTATAGAAATTGTGAATCTACATTATAAATTTTATGAATCTACAATTTAGAAATTATGAATCTACAGTATAGAAATTATGAATGTACAGTATATAAATTATGAATGTACAGCGTGTCCACCATGCACATGGTGGACACTGGTCCATAGCATAATTTGCCATTGTAATTAAATATCAAAGTTGTAATACAAAATATGTTATATATATTTACCAAATATTTTATACAAATATAATAAATATTAATATTTTGTTAACCTCTTAAAAATTAGTATTTTGTTCAATACTTTCACATGATAACCTACGATACACATCTCACAACAAATGAAACATATAGGGGAAAAACTACCACTACCAAATATCGGTGCTTGTAAGATAAAGAGTTCATAGTACAACTAAGATCACAGTCATATACACAGCAAGGAAAATCTAAAGTTTCCTAAACTATAATCTCATTGCACGATGTATCCCACTATGCTAGGCAAATTACGCTGTGGAACCGTGTCCACCTTGCAAGGTGGACACAGTTCCAAAACTGTTCATAATTATGAATATATAGTTCAAAAATTATGAACATATAGTTCTATAATTATGAACATAGAGTTTTGAACATAATTATGAACATATAGTTTTGTAATTATGAATATAGAGATTCAATAATTGTGAATATGAAGTTCAAAAATTATGAATATATAACTTTATAATTATGAACATATAATTAAGTAATTATGAACATAGAGTTCTGTAATTTTGAATATAGAGTTTAATAATTATGAATATGAAGTTCAAAAATAATGAATTATTACTTTATAATTATGAACATATTGTTCAGTAATTATGAACATAGAATCGTGTCCACCTTGCAAGGTGGACACGGTTCCACAGCATAACGATTACCTATGTTACCGCCAGTAACATGTACTGAAGATGAAGATAATAATAATGCTACCCAAAAGAGAATTAAGAAGAATTAGAGAAATTTAAATCAAAAGTAGTATTTATTTAAACAATCGCTTTTAGACTAAGTATTTAGACTTGCGTTATTACAAAGTTACAAACATTTATTTTAGTGACACTTATAATCAATCTCTCATATATTATCTTGCATTTATATACTTTAAATTACCGGTTTAAATAAACAAATGCAACATTTATTTACCTATGCATGACCATATCGTATATAATATTGCATTGATATATTTTGAAATAATTATTTAAAAATAATTATTTGGCATTATCCCATTCGTGCAAAGCGCGTAAAAAACTAGTATAAACATAAATGTGAAGTTTAACTATTAACTTAGACTTTTAGTTAAGATAAAACACATGCTCTAATTTGATATCAGAGTCAACCTCATGCAAGAGGTCAAGGGTTATGCTCGCACATGAGTTGGAGTGTTGAACTGTGACACCCCGAAAATCCTATCCTTTAAATAGGATTAATTGAATAATTAATCCTAAGTCATTCTTGTGGACTTTCTTATCAATTTTCCAAATTGATAGTGGGATGACTTAAATTGACCAACTCCTTGGTCAATTGATTTAAGTCAAAAGGGGGACCTTTGGCTTTGATGGTTGTACCTAACTCTTTGGGGTCTTCCTAAGCTTTTCTAGGGAAAGTAAGAGCATAATGGTCTTTTCCCATTTTCTTGGTCTTGAAGCCTTACCCAATCAAGCCTAAATCTCATTTCCCTACTTTGGCAAGAAAACATTTTTCTCTACCTTCTCTCTAAGAAAACTTGGCTTCCCCAAGCCAAGAAGAATCTCCTTCGTTGTGACACCCCGATTATTTTTGATAATATTATTTGATATTAATATCCTTCAAAATTATTTTCCTAATTATATATAATAACTAATTCCTAATTTCTTACACTAAATTATATATATTTGTTACGTGTGTATATATGTTAGTATGAACCTAAACTAAGATAAGTAAATATATATATATATATATATATATATATATATATATATATATATATATATATATATATATATATGCGTCAGCAAACTTAAATGCCTAATCTATATATATATAAAAGTAAAATCCTCCTACCAAGTTTTCCCCCCAAAACTTAGTGGCATTTTTGTAATAATAATAATAATAATAATAATAATAATAATAATAATAATAATAATAATAATAATAATGTTATTACCTCAACATTACCTTAAATAAATAAATTATTATTCTTTCCTTTTGAATTAGTATTTTCTACCTATAAATACAAACTTATAATTCTTCTAATCTCTAGCCTCCCCCATCAATCAAAGAATCTCAGACTTATTTTTCTGCTTTCTTTTCGTATAATTTTTTTTTTTATATTTTTCTAACTATATTCTCCAGTACTTCAATAGGTTTTGCAGGTTATATCTCTGGTATGAGCTTGAAGATACGTAAGGATGCTCTGCTTCAACAAAAGAAAATTGAGGAGGAAGAGCCTTGGTAATAGAACCCTAATGGTTTAGTTTTTATGAAAGATTGTAGAGATACGATCGAGAATAATAACGACGGTAAAATCAGATCTTCAACTTGACAATGATATATATATTTTAAGAGTCTACATTAAAAATATATAAGAGAGAACATACATGTTTATTAGATGTGTGAAAACTCTAATATTGTGAGTTGATATAATGATTGTAGGTATTTGGAGTGGTGATGAAGCAAAGAAGAAGAATGATTTGCCATGCAAGACAAATAAGGATTGTGTAGCTCCCTATCCTTTGAGTGTTTTTGCTATTGTGACCATCTTGATATTTTCTTTTTCTTTTTTAATTTAGTACACGACTGATGTATGATGCCATGCTATAGTTTGTTAAATACAAAGAATGCAGTCATCTCAAATCTATTTCGTTTCCCCCACATTGTACTATGTCGTATATCATGGTTGGATGATTAGAGTAAAATTATTGGTACAAGTTTTTTTTTTTTTAAGGTTTCCTAGAATAAATAAAAAAAAATAAAAGCAGGGTGATTGACAGTTAGCAGCCACCCAATGCTTTCGGAGTTGTCCTTTTTAACTTTTAAGAAAGGAGTTGTACTATATAGACTCACTGCTTTTAGTACAATATTATTAGTAATTAATGTATAATATTATTAGTACAAAATCAATTTTACCTGTCTTAATAATTAATTATTAATATTATTGCCTAATAATTATGTATTGTCACCTTTTCCGGTGTAATTATTATGGTAATTTACATACATATATATTTTTATACTTAATATATAATATGATTGGCACAAAATAGATTATACTTACCATAATATATAGATTATTTTTTAATATAATTTCCTAATTTTTATTAAGGGTAATTATTCTCATAATTTTTCTTTCATTATTTTGTGTAATTATTATGGTAACTTTATGGTAATCTATTTAAATATATAGGGTGATTTAATTTAAATAATTTAATTTAAAATACTATACTATAATAACGAATTATTATTACTATAATAATTACTATAATAATAATTACTATAATAATAATAATAATAATAATAATAATAATAATAATAATAATAATATTAGCAGTAGAAAAAAAATGAAATGAAAACGGGATTCAGTTAATAATAATAATAATAATAATAATAATAATAATAATAATAATAATAGTAATAATAAGGTTAATTAGCAGTAAAAAATGAAAATATAAAAGGAGAGTAATACTAATAATTTGTTAGGAGTAAAAGTAGGAAAAATAGAAAAGGAAATAAAACTAAAATAAATGTACAATAATTTTGGATATAAATTATTAGCTTAAAAAGGAAAATATAAAAGGAGATTAATACTAATAATTTGTTAACAGTAAAAAACATAGAAAAGGAAACCAAATTAACTAAAAAGGAAAATGATACCAAAAATTCACTAATTAATAATAATTTAAATTTCTATAATTTCTATAATCAATAGGAACTAATTATATGGAGAGGATAAATAATTATTGAGTAAGTAATTATTTAGATAAGTGCTGACATATTTTATTTTATGGAAATATATTTTTTTCATTATTTAGCCAGCATAATATAAGTTAAATATAAATAGTAATTATATGGAAAGGATTGCCACTAATTATGGAGAGGATTGCCAGCCAGAATAATATGAGTCAAATAAAAATGGGAGCGTAATCAATAGGTAAATAATGACATATTAATTGGATTGCCAGCCACCACAATAGGGTAATGAATAATAATAATAATAATAATAATAATAATAATAATAATAATAATAATAATAATAATAATAATAATAATAATAATAATAATAATAATAATAATAATAAATGATATTACAAAAATGTCCCTACGTTTTGGGGGAAAAATTTTTGTGTCAACCATTTTGCTTTAATATATATAGAGATAGAGATAGAGATATAGAGATAATGATATGCCTCTGATTAGAGTTTATATTTATTCATACAAAATTTAGAATTTACATTTTTATTGATTTTTAAGTACAATTCTCTTAATTATTATTATTCATATTTTTAGAATTATAATATATATGAAATACAATTTGGAATAAATCAATTTAATTTTATAAATTTTTTTTATAAATTTATCTAAATATGTACATGATTAGAGATTATATTAACCATACAATATTTAAAATTTAATTTTGTATGTTATGAAAATAGGTACTTGACCAAATATATAAAAATCCAACTATATTATTATATTGTACATTTTAACATCTTTTTATTTTTTTTATTTTAATTTTAAATTCATAACAACAAAAAATTTTCCCGGTAAAACACTATATTTTACAAAATACAACTTGATAAATATCATAAATTAATTAGTACAATATTATTTATGTTTATAATAATTAAGAAAAAAAATAATTCAAATATGGGAACCAATGATTTGAAAATGAAATTAATATATAGTTACAAATAAATATAGCATGATTACAATTACTTTAATTAGTTTTAATTACCTTAATGATATGACTTTTCTTTATCAGTTTTTTTATGGAGACTAAGGGAGTGTTTGAGTTGGTGATTTTTTTTTTAAATACTTACTAATAAAAAATAATTTTAAAATATTTTTTTAATCCCTCATAACATGTGTAAATCTTATATTTTTTTAAAAAATACAATTTGATAAATATCATAAATTAATTAGTACAATATTATTTCTGTTTATAAATTATAATAATTAAAAACATATTGAAATATGTGAACCAATGATTTCAAAATGAAATTAATATACAATTACAAATAAATATAGCATGATTAGATTTACTTTAATTAGTTTTAATTTCCTTAATGAAATGATTTTTCTTTATCAATTTTTTATGGGAGGCTAAGGAAGTGTTTGGATTAGTGCAAAATATTTTAAAATAAAATGCATACTAATAAAAATAATTTAAAATATTTTTTAACCCCTCATAACATGTGTAAATGTTATATTTTTTTAAAAAATACAATTTGATAAATATCATAATTTTTGTTTATAATAGTTAAAGAAAAAAAAATAATTCAAATATGTGAACCAAATATTTCAAAATAAACTTAATATAGAGTTACAAATAAATGTAGCATGATTAGATTTATTTTAATTAGTTTTAATTTTCTTAATGAAATGACTTTTCTTTATCCGTTCTTGATGGGAGGCTAAGGGAGTGTTTGGATTGCTGGAAAATATTTTAAAATAAAAATGCACACTAATAAAAAATAATTTAAAATATTTTTTAATCCCTCATAACATGTGTAAATGTTTTTTTTTTAAATACAATTTGATAAGTATCATAATTTTTGTTTATAATAGTTGAAAAAAAATATAAATAATTCAAAGATATTAACCACTGATTTCAAAATGAAATTAATATACAGTTACAAATAAATATAGCATGTTTAGATTTACTTTAATTAGTTTTAATTTTCTTAATGAAATAACTTTTATTTTTCATTTTTTTTATTATAGACTAATGGAGTGTTTGGGTTGCTGAAAAATATTTTAAAAATAAAATTACTTACTAATAAAAATAATTCTAAAATATTTTTTAATCCCTAAACATGAGAAAATTTTATATTTAAAAAAAATACAACTTGCTAAATATCATAAATTAATTATTGCAATATCATTTATGTTTACAACGAGAATAATTAAAGAAAAAATAAATAAATCAAATATGTGAACCAATGATCATAAATAAATTAATTATTGCAATATCATTTATGCTTTGGCCTGGAGATTTAAAGTTGCTCACCTTTGGTTAATAAGGATGGATGTGTCCCTTCCACTCAACCACAAGCTCCAGGTTCTTAGTGAAATGACTTTAATAAAAGTAAAATCCTCATTTACAACATTTCAGCCCAAATTAACATGAATATTAATTAATTAGTAAAAAAATAATAAAGCTTAATTGGTAACAAAATTTTATATAAAAATTAACTAATACTAATGAATTGTTACCACAGATTAAAGTCAATATGTACATAAAAATAGAAAATGGTTACCAAATTATGAGAATAATTAAATTATTATAATTGTGAAAATAATGGATACAAATTCTGCGTAACAAATGAGAAAATTCGTTCGAAATTTGCGTAATTTTATAAAGAAATAATAATTTATTAATTATTATTTACTTTATACTATTAATAAAAGTAAAATTCACATCTTCAACATTTCCGCCCACATTAATGTGAATATTAATTAATTGATAAAAAAAATTAATAAAGCTTAATTGGTAACAAAATTTTATATGAAAATTAACCAATATCTAATGAATTTTTATCACAAATTAAAGTCAACTTAAAAAAAAAAAATGGTTATCAAATTTTGAGAATAATTAAACCATTATAATTGTAAGAATAACAGAAACAAATTCTGCGTAATAAATGAGAAAATCTATTTGAAATTTTATGTAATTTTATAAGGAAATAATAATTTATTAATTATTATTGACACCAATCTATATTTATACTATTAATAAAAGTAAAATCTTCAATTAAAATGTCTTTCACCCTTCTGATACGAGATTGCCCTTCAAGTTCTAACGAAAACAACTCATGTTGATGCTCGCATATGCCACGACTATCAACAAAAGTCAGGGTCAAACACTAACTCACGTTGAGTTATTACTGAAAAAATCAGTCTTTAATCACGGTTAATTGTATGTGACTTTTTCCCGAGTCACCCATCCTGATGGTTTGGTGATTTTAACTCTAGACGAGGATGGATAAAATTGTGTTACTACTACCAATGTTGTCTACAAAGAGATTTTCAATAATGTATAATTCAAGTCATTGATATTATGGGTTTTTATATATAAAGATGACAAAATTGCTATATATCTACATAGAAAATATATCTTCCGTATAAATAATTTCTATAACTGAATTGCTAGACAACGAGCTAATTAGCCCAATTAATACAAATTCTAAACACTGATATATAAAATCTCTAAAGTTGCAGCACCGAATGCGTATATCTACACGTTAGCTATTAATTGGGCAATTATTTACTCAAATTCAAGCATTGATAACATCAGAAAACATAATCGGTGCAACTCAATTCTTCAATTATATTATATAATATTCGATGTTATAATTTATACAATTGTATATCGATCTAAATATTTATAAAATATTATAACAAATTCATTCCGTGCAACGCACGGGCGCAAATACTAGTAATTCCTAATATTAA